CAGGTTAACTGTGTCAGCCCAGAGTAGGAGGGCACAGTCCCGCAGCGGTTCCAGCCCGGCTAGCTCAGACCTCTGCCCATCCAGCCCCAGCATGCAGCCTTATCCCCTCCCTTATGCCAGCTTGGTTTACTCCATGCTGAGCATTTACTGGGGAAAAAGCAAATCCACGGTTTCCTGTTGTTTTATCTGCTGCACTGAGGATTTGGACACCTCTCCCTCATGTGGGAGCACACGGGAAAAGGAAGATCAACACCATCCTTAAGCTGCCAAGTTGCTGCAGGGCATTTGCAGGACCACAGATGCGTTCAGAGTGTGTCTTGAGGCCTGAACAGGCAGAGGCAAACCCAAGGGAGAGGAGATGCAGGTGTCCTTGGATCAAGGCAAGCCACAGCGACTTATACCCAGCTGTGGTGACTCCAGCTGGAATTTGAAATGGAGGAAAGAGGTGTGCAACAGATGCTTCCCAGCCTGCTGTACCTCCCAGGCCCAGCGCACAGCCTGGATTGGTGGGAAGCTCTGATCTTCTCCAGATCAATGCCACCTTGGCCCTGGCCCCTTTGCTGGTTGGGAGCGTCAGCAGGCAGGAGGGCTCGGCCGTGTACTCACCATGTTGTCCTACCCTCTGGCAGCTGATGATGTCACTGGGAAATTTTTGAATCATCCAAGAAATAACGAGCATTACTCACTGCCATGTGGGAGTATTTACCCACTGAAATACAGAGAGGAGGGAGGCAGCCGAAGGTGTGGTCTGGATCCAGAAAGTCTGGCAAAACTGCCAGCAAGCGGTGATGGGTGATCCCTGCCCCAGTTACGCAGGCAGACCTCCTCAGATGGGAGATTTTGGCTTCCCTGTATATCCAAAGGAAAACCTCTGGTCACCTGTACCTCTTTTTTTTTCACGTATGAAGGAAAGGAACAAATCGGTCCTCTCCTCCTACTTGTGGGGAGACGTCAAAGTGAGTGGAGAGGCAGAATGGAGACTATCATCGCCTCTGTACAACCCATCTGGAGGCAGGGAGGGAGCTAAGGATGAAAATGAGTGTGGTACTTGCCCTTCTTTTTTTGACTTGCCCCCTTGTGCAACGGGAGGATGGACTTGTGGGCTTGGGCTGCATGAGGTACTGTGTGCCCAAGGCACTGTGGTGTTTGTGGGTCCCTGGGGTTTCCTAGTATGAAAAAGCCCTGGGAGGAACAGCAGAACAGGAGTTAAAATATCGGTGCTAGTGCAGCAAGCCAAGAACAGCCATGAAATCCAGGAACAGCAACAGATAACAGCAAGGAACCGGCAGGTGCTGGGTAGAGCGGTGACGACACCAAGGCCACACCACAGATAAGGCCACCAGGCAGACGTGGAGCAAGAGCGATGTGATGCAATCCGGCTTGGCCTCTTGACATCGGTGCCCAGCCAAATGGAAAGCCGGCAAACAGCACCGCGGTCACCCGGGAGGCGAAGGTGTGATAAGGGCTCACGGTGTGATGAGCAATCCCGGGTGGGTGGCATGGACACGGGTGGGTGGGTGCTGGTGAGTGTGTGGGAACAAGCGCAAAGGCAGGGGCCACACCACAAGGCAACAAGGGTGAGATTGGTTTCGGAAGCAGAAGTCTCATTCCTTGTCATTGCTGTCTCCAGCAGAGTTTCTCTGCCTCACTGGCAGTAAGACTAACTCATTGGCTCCACAGAAGAGCCTGGGACCTTCCTACCTTCCCCTCCTGCCCTTCTTGGAGAGCTGTGGCTGACGGGGGTGCAGGGAGGAGGCAGCAGAGCCAGGACCCTTGCTTCTGCCCCAGGAGAAGCTGAACAGGAGTCTAAGGGCAGCCCCAGATACAGAGGATGGGAGGGAGCAGCTGCTCCATGTGCTGCTGTACTGGTGGGAGCCTGGGACCCACCGCAGACAGCAGAAGGGTGCCCCTCTTTGTGATACCTGTGGCGTGGAGGAGGAAAGCCCAGGTTTAAGTGCATGACTGTCTCAGACGTAGCTGGAGCTGCATGGACAACATGAGGCTGAGCAGCCACCAGAAAATCTGGAAGAAGGGAAAAGGAAGAATTTCCCTGCCTTTCTTCGAGGAGGATGGTAGGCAGGACTTTCATCAGAGGCTGCAAGCCTGTGCTTGAGAGAAAAGCAGGAAAAGACAAAACCAGTTTGCAAGAGGTGATTTCCCCTTTGTCATCTCTTAGCATGTCATTTTAATTTGCTCTGTGAAGGCAGTGGCATTTGAATACCACTGAGGAACCAGGTGGAGGAAGTTCAAGCCTCGTATGGGCCAACAGCTTTTCCCCAGCACCGCGGAAAAGACAAGAGAAAAGCAGGAAAAGACAAAACCAGTTTGCAAGAGGTGATTTCCCCTTTGTCATCTCTTAGCATGTCATTTTAATTTGCTCTGTGAAGGCAGTGGCATTTGAATACCACTGAGGAACCAGGTGGAGGAAGTTCAAGCCTCGTATGGGCCAACAGCTTTTCCCCAGCACCGCACAACTTGCTGCCTCTGACACAGAGGGATGCAGACATTTCCTGCCACCTTCCATCCCAGGAGAGCAATCTGGAGCACACAACACACCCTCGCTACGCAGCCCTAGCCTGTCTCTCCTGCACCGCTGCTGGCAGGAGAGAATTTCCCTGCCTTTCTTCGAGGAGGATGGTAGGCAGGACTTTCATCAGAGGCTGCAAGCCTGTGCTTGAGAGAAAAGCAGGAAAAGACAAAACCAGTTTGCAAGAGGTGATTTCCCCTTTGTCATCTCTTAGCATGTCATTTTAATTTGCTCTGTGAAGGCAGTGGCCTGGCAGTGGCCAGGCCACGCTTGGGACTGGCTGCAGAACATGGTTCTCTGCAGTGGAGGTCCTGGAGACATTATGATTAGTGTTTGAGTGGGTTTTTTGGTAGTAAAAATGTTGAAGACTGTAAAGGCCCATGATAGCCCTCATGCAGGACTGTGCTGGGTGTTGGTCCAGGAGCAGCTTGCAGGACGTGTCCTCATGATGTCCACACAGTTGAGTGTTGGCTACAACCAGATTTGCAAGGTGGGTGCCTACGGAAACGCATCGCGTGCGCCAGAGAATGACAGCTGCTTGTCCCCAGGACCAAGTGTCCTCTTGGTTGCAGTGTCCTCCAGGGCTCACTGACCAAACCTCATGCGCATCAAGGCTTGGTCAGGGCATCTACATCTCAGGACTGCGGTTTTTGCCTGTTGCTTTTTATACTGTCATCGGGCACTACCAAGAAGATGTTGGCTCCATCAGCTGCCCTTCCAGCAGTTGTAGGCAGCTATCGGATCCCCCCTTGGTCTCCCCTGTACTAGACTAAACAAGTCCAACAGGCCCCCATGTGCCTCAGGAACAACTGCTAATGCAGTTAAATATTTACTTTAGTTGAGGGATTTCCAAAGTGGAATAATAATGAAAGCCAAAGGTTATTGAACTGTGTAAACTCCGTGAAGAGGGAATACAAAACATGTGCACAGCTGCCTCGGCAGCGTGGAGGGATGGTTCTGCAAGGCGAACCCTGAATCGCTCACCTTCCCCCTTCCCAAAGCCCAGACACAGCCCTGCGGAGTTGGGTGGAAGGAACACTCCTCTGGCCATGGAGGACGCTCACCAAGCCATTCCTTCTCGTCTCACCTGGCTGGGGCCAGCGTGTACCTTCCTAAGCCTCAGGTAAGACTGCTGGGAAGAAATGTCCTGGGCATGGGCATGGTTAGCTCCTCAGCAAGTGCATATGTGTATGCTGTGGGTGTCTGGAGTTCTCCCAGCCCCGCTGGTGCCTTCTGTAGGACACCAACCCTTGGCTGCCGCTCCTACCCATTTTCCTTTACTTCTGGCCCAGATTTCATCTCAGCAAGTCTGTCCCAAAGGAGTTTTTGGTCAACATCAGGCTTCGGCTACAACACCAACTTTCCATCCAGCAGTTCTCTTTTCCATCCTTCACCCTTCACCAGCTGATTTTGATTCACCAGGAGAAGGTGAGACAGATGTGGAAAATTCAACTTCTCAGAAAGACGTGGTGAGGATGCTTAGATGGAAAGACTGCTGTCAAGTGTCCAGTCTTGTAGGTGAAGTAGCTGGTGTCTTCTAGGGCGGTGATGCTTGTTGAGAAGTCCTTCACTGAAGAGTTGGTGCCTCTTACCACTGAGGATCCTCTCTGGCCTCTCTGTCCCCTCCCTGTTGTACGTGTCACCTCTGTGTATTTAAACTGGGTATCCATGCACACAGCTCCCTTCCATCACACTGAATCTTATGATAAAGATCATGTTGCTCTGTGGATCTCAGCTGCAATTGTTAATGTGACCAAGCTGGTGAGTGGAGCAAGGTATTAAACTGCCCATGATGACGGGTGGAAGAGCACAGGCTGCACCGGCAGCTCCCTGCTCCCACTCAGCTGAATTTCGTTCCTTCCAGCCTTGCTGCACCTCCAACCTGTCCCATCCCACCCAGCAATGGAGTGGGCTTGCCAGAGCACGATGGCGGGTCTTCTGTGTGTTTGAGATCCCCTTCCTACTGTCCTGCCCAGTGCATCAGGCAGCCAAGTACCTGCCTGGTCAGGTCTCATGGGACAACGCTCAGGCTACGGTGCAGCCACTCAAATCAGCCTGAATTTCCTGGCTTTCCCGTGTGAAACCTCTCAACCCAAATGGAGATACCTGCCACATATGAAGAGCAGCCGCTGCGAAGCTGGAGGGCTGGTCTGGGTGAGATAGACCAGAGGTTCACAGGCTGGATGGGGCAGAGGAGAACAGCACCACCGAACCCAGATGGTACTGCAAAGGGATTGCAAAGTGGCTGCTGGTGCTGGCAGTCGGCGCTGGCAGGTGGCACTGGGGTGGTTGTCAGCTGCACGAGAGCGCACGAGTGATCCCTCTGGGTGCACTGTCCAGCTGTTCCCAGCACACATCAAAGGCTGATCAAAATGCTGCTTTTCCCAGCGCCGCTAAGATAAATGGGTGCCCTCCCCTATAAAGGCAGTCACAAGTGGAGCGAGGTGCAGGAGTACGTGCGCCTGATCCAGCCATGCCTGCCAGGGAGCTGCTGCTGCTGGTAGCACTGGTGACTCTCATCGCTGCTGGTGGTAAGTCCGCTCTGCTGCCAGTAGCTCTTTGGTGGTGGGTCAGGAACCAAAAATGGGCGGGAGGGCAGAAAGACCCAGAAACGCTGATTTGGAGAGGAGGTGAGGAGGGCAAGAAAACACAGCGGCAGAGTGGTGGGGAAAAAGTACTGGCACAAACACACCACACCTTATTAGCAGTTTGAGGCAAGGGCTACAGGCTCGTTCATTGACTGTATGGTGCTTGGGAGAGGGATGGGATAGAGGACAGCCTGTGATGCAAGTGGGAACCAGGATCTGGGAGGACAGCACATACACTGGGGTGGCGGCTACTGTTGTTCCTGCCTCCATGAAGACCTGCAAGCCTTTGCAAGTACTTTATGTGCTCAGCATGTTCAGGTGGGAAGCAGCTGCCTGCAAGCTCTGCAAAACCTGTGTAACCTAGGTGTAAGTAGTGGTGGTCCTGCAGCAGCCTGCTTGCAAGCTCATGCTCCCAAGACATTTGTGCACCACACAGGCTGTGAGCTGTTGTTACTGCTCTGCCTGACTGCAGAAAAGGAACTCAGTGAATGCAGCTCTCCCTGGGGATGACTATTGCCACCCAGGCTCAGCCCCTCCACAGACACCTCATGTCCCCATGCAGCACTCCATGGGTTCACGTTTCCTTGAATGTGTTGGATGTTCTGTGGAGCTCCTGGTCCAGAGACTGGTAGAGAGGGCTGTCAGGAGAGGGTTTAGGAGGCTGTAACAGGCATTCCCAGCTTTGTCCCAGCTAACTCAACTGCAGATGGAGGCTGTGCACTGTGCTGCTGGGAGGGTGGCATGCAGCAAACTGATCCCCACTCACGGAACCCACACAGCTGATCCGGGCCCTGAGTGGGCCCTGCACAACCCTGCCTTCCCTTTGGTTTGGATGTGACCCTCTGTCAATGCCTCTCGCTCCTGTCACCGGTCACAGGTGTGCCACACTCACGGGTCCCTGCTCTGTTTCAGGGGCAGAGCTGAATGAAGGGAATGGCCTGAGAAGGGTAAGATGTTTCTGCTTCCCCTCATTCACGGCTTGAGATGGGATTCAGTGCCTGGGAGAAAGGCCATTCCTAGAAATCATCCGCAGCCTCATGGATTCTCCAGCATCAAACTCGCACCAAGGCTGCGAGTCCCACTGAGGGATGCAGCGTCCTCTCCTCCTCCTTGCTTTCCCCCTCTGTGTGCACACCCTGCCACATCTGCAGCAGAGGGGACCAGGTCGCCAGTGGCACTTGCTCCTGCCCAGCTCCTGTGGGAGGGAGAGACGGGTGCTGCTGGCACTGAAATGTGTGCTGTGGTTTCTCCTTTCCAGCCGGTGTGTGGAGACATGGTTGAGCTGCAGGCCTGCCCCCTCCTGCACTTGCCCGTCTGTGGGACCGACGGGAACACCTATGCCAACGAATGCCAGCTCTGTGTGCAGCAAATGTAAGCTCACACCCTTGGCAGAGACCTCCCAGGCTCTAATTCTGGCTGTCTGAAACTGGGCACATGCCAGACACTGTCATTCAGACTCCCCCGTGCCTGGGAAAGCCACGGCAAACAGGAATCACACGTGTTCCTGATAGCAAAGTGGAAGAGGACTTTTTTGTGTCAGCTGAGCCGGGTGCTGGGCTGTGAGGCCTGTGAGCTTCACCCTCCTGCCCTGGAAGTGCCCGCAGACAGGTGCAGCCCTTCCCCCAGCCTTTGCCTTCAGGTATCTGCCCCATCCTTGGCACCACTCTGTGGCTGCATGATCAGCAGATCCAAAATGTAAGGTCAGGAGTCTGTGGAGACCTTCCAACATGAGTGCCTGCAAGCTGGCAATAAACCAGGTGCTCCATAAAGGACGAGGAAGTTCTCACTGTCTGTGCTGCCTGCAATTAGAGAGGTTGAACTTAAATGGGCAAAGAGGTTGACTAGGCACGTGCCTCACGGCTCTTTTGGCAGAGCTTCAAGGCAGAGATAGCCCCATAAATTTGAGGACTAGGGCAACAGGGACCTCATGAGAAGCACAAAGGTTGCTTTGAGGCAGTGATTTTTTCCAGGCTGGGAAGAGACCGAGCAGAGGTTCATGCTAGAAAGGAAGTGAGGGTGAAGATCAGGTTGAACGCAGGTCAGCAATGCACTTGCACAGCAAATAACACAAACCGTGTGCTGAGCTGCAGGAGGAGAGGACTGGTCTGGGGAAGGAGAGGCTTGGGGAAGATCTAACAGCAGCTTAGGTTGCAAATGCGATAGAGCCACACTCCTGTTGGTGGTAGCAGGTGATGCAACACAGTGCAACAGCCACAAGAAGCAGCCCCAGAGGGTACAGGTTGGACACAGGGGAAACCCCCTCCCCAGGAGGGTGGTGCACCACAGAGGTAGGGGGGGTCTTCATCCCTGGGGTGTGGGGGTGGTTAGGGTTCAGACAGAGCCATGGCCACCATAACCTCACACTGGGGAGAGCCCTGCTGTGAGCAGGTTGGGCTGGAGACCCACCACCAGTGCTGCATGCCCAGGGAGGGTCCATCTGTCAGCCAGGGTGGCTTGCAGTCACCTCAGCATTTTAGACAGGAAAATGAACAAGCCAATATTATAACAGCCAGCTCCGTACCACAGGCTGGATGGGAGCCAAGGTATGACTCAGGGAGGATTTTTTGAGCTCTTACTCTTTTTCTCCTACGTTATTCTAGGAAAACCAGGCAAGACATCCGGATTTTGAAACATGGGGAGTGTCAAGATATCTGAGCTTTCCGTTAACTCTGCTGAGCCTAGAAACAGGTGATTAATTGATCCTGTGTGCTCTGCGCTGACTGCGCATTTAAGTTAGCGATGGTGAATAATAAAATGACATGCACAACCTTATTTCAGTAGCATTTTTTATGCAAGGCTGAGGGTAAACAGCACAAGCCAGTTCCCACAAAGGGCTGCTAAAAGCATACAGTCAAAACATTCATTTCAAATCCAAATCACATACCAGGGCTCTGCACTGTGAGTATTATTATGTTCCTGTGAGAAAAGCCATGTGGGAGTACCAAGAAACACAGATCCCAGTGAAGAAGGTGCTGAACAAGTGCAGTTGTTTTTTCTGTAGGAGGCAATTTAGCCAAGAGAAAGTGAAGTTTCTTCAGCGTGGGAGAAGACAACTCCCTGGCTCCCTAGTGAACACCACTGCTTCTAGACCTGATATAAATTGAAAACAGTATCATCTGCGCTTCTCATATTAGATGTTATTCAGCTTTTTATCCAAGAGCTTTTCACAACAGGAATCAGCCCAGCTAACACGTGGGAGCATGGAAAGAGCCTGAGTGGAGACCCTGAATGCAAAGGACTGCAGATCTTTGCTTCAGCGCTTGAGAGGAGCCTCCAAACTGAACTAATTACCCAGAAATGCTCTCCAGGAACTGCAGATTCCCAGCCAGTTGCCAAATTTGAGGTCTAGGTTCCTCCTGATGTGAGGGCCATCTTTGGGACTGTGGCAGGGCACAGTCCAACCAAGCTAAGGGTGTAAGTGTGCCTCAGGACTCCTTGGGGCTCCCTTTGCTCTTTCGTCTCCCATTTCTACCAGATGGGACACAACTCACCTTTCATGAAATACCTGTGATGAGCTTGTACAACCTGGGTATGCAGGGGGGTCCCTCTGCTCACAGTGGCAGAGATCAGAGGGCGCTGGCTAATCCAGGACTTGCCTCCTAAATTCATTTCAGTCCTGTACCAGAAGTTGTATTTCTACAGAGTGACTTGTTGAGATTTCTGTTCGGCTTTAGCAAAGCACAGGGTTGCTTTGAAAAGTGCTTCAGTGTGAATTGAAACCCTCCAAGGACAGGGCTGTCCTCAACCACGGGGGATCACACCGTTCTGACTTGCTGCTATACTCACACAACTCATTTGCAGGCATCAGGGGAAGGGTCTCCAGTGCATCATACAGTCAAGCCAGCACCCTGAAATCAGTGACCACCCTGCAAGACTGTGAGGTGTGCCAGTGACACGGCTACTGTTCTTGGCCAGCTGGTCATGTAATACATCCCCACACACCTCTTCCAGTTCTGCACCTTTGTAGAAACACCAGGTGGGACACTGCAGTACCGCAATGCATGACACAGCCATTGTCTGGCTGTGGATGCAAATAGTATTGAGGAACATAAAACAGCCATGCTTGGTCAGATGAGAGATCCATCTGACCCGGTGTCCACCATTTTCCAGCCCAGAGGCAGCTGCTGTTGTTAAAAGCTTTACTCTCCTTAATAGCTCTGTCCCAGGCTGAAAAGTCCTAGCCTGGCTAGTTGCTAAGAGTTGCCCAGAGTTTTGATTGTCCCTATTTTTCTTCCCTGGACCCTTTCCACCTCTGCAGACGAAGGAACATGGCTTGCCCACCTGTCCACTGCTGCTGCTATTACACCATGTGCTCATTTGTTGCAGGGTTTTGGAAGCCCATTTGCCCCCCTTCCAGTCCTCAGGTAGTGAGGGACAGGTGGTCTGGTTGCGTGTTTCTCTCTGTGTTGCCAGTCCTCCTGTGCAGACCTTCAGATGCTGTGTCCCCTGCACTGTAGGGAAAAAAAAAAAGGGGTAATCATCCTCAAAACACTTCCATGGCGAACACCACAAATGCACTGCTCATTTCTCCCCCGGGGTTTTCTGCTCCTGCTCCTGCCAACTCAGCTGCAGGCAGGATGTATTCATAGAATCATAGAATACTTTGAGTTGAAGAGACTTTAAAGATCATCTAGTTCCAAGCCCCTTCATGGCCCTCCTCTGGACTCACTCCAACAGCTCCACGTCCTTCTTGTGTTGGGAACTCCAGAGCTGAATGAAGTACTGCAGGTGGGGTCTCATGAGAACAGAGCAGAGGGCCAGAATCACTTCCCTCAACCTGCTAGCCATGTTTCTTTGGATGCGGCCCAGGATATGGTTGGCTTCCTGGGCTGCAAGTGCACATTGCTGACTCACATTGAGCTTCTCATCAACCAACACCCCCAATTCTTTTTCCTCAGGGCTGCTCTCAATCCATTCTCTGCTCAGCCTGTACTTACGCTTGGGACTGCCCTGACCCATGTGCAGGATCTTGCCCTTGGCTTATTGAACTTCATGAGTTTGCACAGACCTACCTCTCCAGCCTGTCAAGGTCCCTCTGGATGGCATCTCTTCCCTCCAGCGTGTCTACCACACCACACAGCTTGGTGTCGTCAGAAAACTTGCTGAGGGTGCACTCGAGTCCACTGTCCATGTCACTGACAAAGATGTTAAACAGCACCAGACCCAATACTGACCCCTGGGGAAAACCATTTGTCACTAGTACCCACTTGGACATCCAGCCATTGACCGCAACTCTTTGAGTGCAACCATCCAGCCAATTCCTTATCCACCGAGTGGTCCATGCATCAAATCCATGTCTCTCCAATTTAGAGACAAGGAACCTCCTGGGTTGCTTATGCCCTGCTGTGTTGTCCCTCCAACAGATATCGGGGTAGTTGAAGTCCCCCATGAGGACCAGGGCTCGTGAACATGAGGCTGCTCCTATCTGTCTACAGAGGGCCTCATCCACTTGGTCTTCCTGGTCAGGTGGCCTGTGGCAGACCTCCACTATAACACCTGTCCCTGCCCTCCCTTTAATCCTGACTCATAAACTCTTGATCAGCTCCTCATCCATCCCCAGATGCAGCTCTATCCACTCCAGACGGTCGTTGACACTACCTTCTCCTCATCTCCCCTGCCTGTCCTTCTTAAGGAGTCTGTATTCTTCCATTCCAACACTCGCTGTCTCCATGATGCCAAAAAGATCATGGCCCTGCAGGCATGCACACATCTCTAACTCCTCTTGTTTATTCCCCATGCTAAGTGTGTTTGCATAGAGGCATTGAAGTTGGCCCTGCAATGGAGCTGACTCACTGGCTGGAGTGGCTGGAATTCCTTTCTGGTGCTCTCTGCTTGTCTTGATCAAGCCTGATATTATCCCTCTTCCTCCTTCAAGTCTAGTTCAAAGTCCTGTCAGTCGGTCCCACTAGCTCATAAGCAAAGACCCTCTTCCCCCTTTGAGAATGGTGAATTCCATCTGGTGCCAGCAAGCCTGGTGCCATGTATTTCTCCTTATTGAAAATCCCAAAATTGTGGCAGAGACACCAGCCATAGAGCCATGTATTAATAGACTGGATGCGTCTGTTTCTTTCAATGGTGTGGTCTGCAACTGGAAGAAGAGAGGAAAAAACAACTTGTGCTCCAGATTCCCTTACCACCCAACCCAGGGCCCTGAAGTCTCTTCTGATCTTAGACTAAGTGTTGCAGCTTCATCACCACCCACATGGAGGAGCAGTAACAGATAACAGTCCAAGGGCTGTACCAGTCTAGGAGGTTTCCTAGCAATGTCCGTAACCTGGGCGGCTCCATCCCAGCTCTCTTCCAGGGCTGAGGGCAAGGTTAGGTCATAGAATCGTAGAATCATAGAATGGTTAGGGTTAGGTTAGGTCCAGCCCAGCGTGGTGGATAACTGGGATTTGTTCTTCCCACGGGGGAAGCACCGGCATCTCAGCCCCATGCAGTGGCTTGAGCTGCGCAGGCAGAGCAGCAGCAGCCCATCACTGGGTATCCCCTGAGAGCCATGTCTATTTATTTGCAGAAGCCAGGAAAAACCAACACAGACAATTCGGGGGCTCTTCTGAAGAGGGAAACCGCATGCCTCCAGCACGATGTGGAGTGTTTATTCAGAAACTGCAGAGCTAAAGCACACACTTGCGGGCCAGACCTTCAAGGTCAAAGCGTGGGCAGCCTCAGAACAGGGTCAGTGTTGACTCTACGCGCAGGGAATTGAGAGATACCCATCCTCCCCGGGGACCGGTGGATTTGCCTGTTTATTTCACACGGCTCAGGAACTAGTGGCTGACTGAGGGGAGGTGAAGGGAGCAGTTTAGCACCGCCACAGGGCTGGTGCCGAGTGGCTGGATCCAGACTGGTGCAGAGAGCCTGGCTCTGAAGCCTGGCAGACCTGTGTCTGGCAAGGCCGGGTGAGACTCAGGAGGCAGCTGGAGGACAGCAAGACACCTGCAATGCACTGGTCTGGGGCAGGGGACATGCACATGGATGTGCACTTTTGCATACAGTTTTGCCTGTTGAATTTATCCATCTGTTTCCCATCTTTTCATGCTTTAGTCAAGGCAGGGGGAGGAAGGGATTATCTGCTTTCACAGGCACTGTAGTTTGTCACACAGAACTGCTGGTAGTCCTGCTCCCAGAGGAGCCTGTTACAACCAGGCAAGCTGCCCCCAAACCTGCTCCAAGTCAGGTAGCGAAGGACAAGCCTGAAAACCATTTCTCTGTCGTTGTCATGCAAGACAAAACTGGAAGACATGCCGTGACACTCTGCTAGAATGACAGTGGTGTTGTTCCTCCAGCTGCCCATGTTGATGTCCCAGCCAGCCTTGAGTTCAAGGCTGCATCCCTCTCTGCAAGGAGGGACAGGCATGTCTCTGGATCTGGCCTTGCAGTAGAAATGCCAGATGGGAGTAAACAGAGATAGCATTGAGGCTTGCAAAGAGCTTTGACTTACACATAGATCCGAAGCCTGGTGTTGCTGTGTCTGCACTGTCCCAACAGTGCCAGGAGACAGGCACGGTGGCAGGATCCAGCCCTAGTCCAGCTATCCCTTGGACAAAGCATTCCTAGGGCTTTTGGGTAGTGAAAGCTGGGGAGAGGACTGGCATGGTGAGATGTACCCAAGTTTGGGAGTGTTCCCCTATCAAGTAGCTCCAGTGACACTA